TAATTTTAAGGAGGCTTTCAATGTGAGTAGAATTTAAGGGAAGGAGTGAGATTAAAAAAGAAATCTGAAATGAATTCAATAATTCTGAGAATCTTTCCATAGGATTTCTTACTGACGAGAATTGGCAATTCATAAGAAAATTAAAAGAAAATTTGATGCGGATGATAGTTGCGATAAGTACTATAACTATATTCTTATGAATAATGGAATTGGGTTGTTAGCGGAATGCTTAAATAAAACAGCAAAAAAGGGTTATCTTCCATTTAATTCCACTCAAATAATTTTGGTATCCATGACAGATACGTATTTCGACTACACTGTGCAGTCTTCATCAGTATCATTCCCACTAAAAACTAACCCCCTTAAATACTCATCCCCTAGGATCATAGATATAAAAATGAAACTACCATGTGTAGAATCGGAACCTACCTAATTAATAATAACCATAGGTTTTTGTAAAGTAAAGGAGAAAAATCTATTCAAATCTAATAAGGAAGCATTCCGCTAATAACCCAATTTCATTACTTAATTATGATGGCTACCAAGCCTTTGGGATTTTTTTTCCTTATTAAAGATTTGAATAGATTTTTCTCCTTTACTTTACTAAAACCTTTGGTTTGGTTTTATCGTATCTGCCATGGATACCAAAATTATTTGAGTGGAATTAAATGGAAGATGACCCTTTTTTGCTGTTTTATATATTCGTATTTTTTTTTAGAATTCAGACAAGCATTCCAAGTGAATTTATGAAATAATTCCATGAGATTTTCAGGAGAATACGAGCGAATGATGAGCGAATTTTCATGCGAAATCTCCGTTGAATATGTAATGGACTATTCTGAGGTCTTCAGAACAACTTGAAAGTTCCCAATATATTCCTGAAGTTAATGAAACTGCCTTGAAGTTCTTTTGTAGTTTGAGAAACTAATACTTCTCTTCAATGTTTTTTACTTCTCTAAACTTTTTCGGACTTCCTAAAGTGTCCACAATTTTCCTAACTATCATGAATCTTCTCTAAAGTTTTAACAATTCACTGAATTTCTCTAAACTATTCTTTCTTGAAGTTTTTTTTTAGCTTTTTAGCGAGATCAACATCTGTCTTGAAGTTCTCGAAACTTCTCCAAAGTATTTGCAGTTCTCATGAAGCTTGTTGTACTACCCTGAATTTAATTGAACTTAATTCTAAAAATGTTTAAGCTTCCGTGAACTTATCAGAAAACCTTAATAATTTTCTTAACGTCTCTAAAGTTCTCTGAAAATTTGGGAACATCTTGAAGTTTTCCGCTAATTTAATCAAACTAATGGAACTGAACTCCCCTGAAATTCCGCTTGTTTTTGGAGCTTTACTTTACTTATTTGAAATCCTCCCGAAATGTCCATATAAATTCCTGAAGTTCTCGGATCTTCCTGTAAGTACCATAGACTTTTATGAAGTTCTCGAAATGTTTCTGAAGATTTCGAAGTTATTCTGAAATTTTAGGAACTTCTTTAAGCTCCCGTAACGACATAATTAATATAGTTCTATGATTTTCACTGAAGTTAGCAAGATTTGTCGATTTTCGAAACTAATTCATAGCTTCTTCAATAGTCTAGAATTTCCGGATGTTTTCGAAACTGCCTAACATATTTCTCAATTTTCTTAAAATTCTGAAGATGACCCCGAATATCTTAGTAGTTTTGTTCATAGAACCCACAATTTTACTGGAATTGATTGAATTGCTTCTGAACGTTCACGGAACTTTGCCTTAAATCACTAATTTTTCCTGGAAAGTTCAACCCTGAAGTTTTATATGCATGTGTGTGTGTGTGTGTGTGTGTGTGTGTGTGTGTGTTTGTTTGTGTGTGTGTGTGTGTGTGTGTACAATCCATTTCCCACTGGCCGGCGTGCTTTTATGGAAGAAAATTGTTTGCACCTATTTTTAATTTTAATTTAAAACGATCTCATTAACTTTCGCTGTTTCTCCACTCTTCTGTCCAATTGTTGTGTCTATTTGTGAGCTCGTCTGCATCACTGCTAGTTCCTGAAAGTATCCCGTGTCATTTCTGATGTGATCCACAATATATTGACGTCCACATTTTTAGTATGATGGTCTTGAGTTCCTAGTTGCGTCTTAAAACCATAACACGAGCATCACTCTATTGTCGTATCGCATGTGCTCCATTTTGCAGCTGTTCTTTCACTTTTACTTTGTCGACTCCATGGTACACTCAAAAAATTCTACACGTCATCATCATGTGTCTCACACTTAATTTTGCGCTTATTGTGAAACACATCCATTTCATGTGTGAATCTTATGCTATGAATCATGCCTGAACACTATGGATTTGAATTGTGACACACTTGGATTATATGTGCCTCATATGGTGATATCAATAGCTTTGCACATCATAGTTTAATATTCTACAATATTCTACTTTATCGACTTCTACTTTTCCGACCCTAAAAATGAATCGACAAATATATAAACTGCCAGAGGCCAAGAGCGACATATCTTTTAATGGGTCTGATTTGGGATTCGATCATGGACTGTTGGGGTGTGCTGCTGCCGGAGTCTTCGTTCGATCCCTCTGTGCCACGGTTGTTCTCATATATATGAGGCGGGTTGATAGGATAAAGTTACAACTCTTGTTTTCGATGTTTACCTTTCTGAGCAAGCAATTCACATCGCATTGAAATGCAAAACACTTTAAATCCATCTGTTTTGAACAGTAGTTACCGGTAGTGTGATTCAATGTGCAATACACATGAATAGATAGTGAAAGATTTTCAACATTTCAAAGTTTGAAATACTAGAAATTAACGTGTATAACACTTTGAACCAAGGTGAAATACACTTAAAGTATATGTGATTGTGCATTTAAAAAATCAAGTGTTTAAACACTTCGATCAAACGTGTGGAATTTTTTGAGTGTACCGGAAGAGATATAGATATAGGGTTTTTGATCTAATTTCCGTCCTACTAAGGACATCCCGCACTTTACCACGCTTTTGGAAAGGGTTTGAACAAAACATGGAATGTTTTCATCAAAGATAACTTCTAAATTTATCCACCTTTCCATACGTACCGTTGGATTTGATAAAGAGTCAAACAATGTTGATATATTATAAAAATCTAACACTGCTTCTTGCTTCTAAATTCGTCATACGCGTTTCAATTCCGTCCAAACGCATTGAAACGCCATTAGATTTTCTTCGTCCTACGGATAAACGGAGAAAAAGGGGATGCGATAGGGGCGCTTCTTTTGTTTTGAGAACAATGAGCGTAAATATGCATACAATGCGCTCTAATAGGATTTATGTTGTAGCTAATGAACTAACGCATCGGAACAAACGTATTATTGTTTTGTGCATTGTGAAATCATTGATATTATTGATGATTTCTGCTCGATAGAACGGAAATGGGCGATTACGACGAAGTAGCGCTCTTCCCTATACATTATTAGCAATGATGTAAAATAACCACTACGAGATGGCCGTTCAGAATGGTTCAACGGATGTGAAATGATGGAACATTTAAATTTAACACGATTTAAAGTATTTCAATGCAACATTACATTTGTTCACTGACAATTAATACATTTTTCAATATGTTATCTTAACTTATTTCTGGAAGAATTTACTTGTGTTTTATACCATTAGTATCAATGTTCCTCGAATCTTCAAGTAATCTTCGCAAGCGCCACATTTCGTTCAGGCTCTTTGGAACTACATGTGATGAAATATGAAACGCATCTTTTAAAGTGAATTGCACATAACAATGTTCATCACTTACTCACACATGAAATCTGCCTCGACCAACCTGGCAGAACGCGCCCTAACCCTCACTGAAACAAAGAACAGGGCCAGCACTGAAGTTTTCTATGTTTACCTTAATTTCTCTAAATTTATCAAATGTTCCGGTAAATTTTCTGATATATATTCATCATTCCCTGAATGTTCTCAAGTTTTCAGACCAATCATAGAATTCTCGAATTATCCCATAATTCCAAGAAACTCCTTGTTAGTCGCTGCAAATTTCCTTAAGTTCATGTTCATTTTTGTGATGTTATCTGATCGTCTTGGAAGTACTCAGAACTGCACTGAACATAACGAAACAATCTAAAAATATCTACATTTCTTAGAAGTTCTCTGGAATTTCTTGAAAATGCTTTAAAAAGGAGACTTTTAAGTGACTTGCTTGAAAAAAGTGACTCGCTACCAGTCCCTGAGCTGGACAGATGCCTGCTGCCAATTTGGGATATGGGTGAAACCTCCATTGTTCGATTGTTCCAGTCAAGTCTTCCTTTGCTTTCAGTTTGCTTCCACTTTCCACTTTCATCCAATCAAACATTGAAAATTATTTTATTGTTGACGTTTTACAGTCCGTGAGAAAAATGTTCCCGTTTTCGAGGACAAGTTCATTAAGCACAACTCATGAACTTTAATAACATTTACAGAACAAGATCATCGTTTTCAGAACGGAGGTCACATTTCTATGACTTTTGTTGCTTTTGCTAGTGCACGGTGCAACGTAGCGTGTTACGTTTATTTTGCGGAACAATGTTCACGAGTCCATTATTTTTATTCATGGTGTACTTTCGTAAACGAAAAATCATGACTTGAAGTTGACGGATTTCTTTCCGTGGTGAAACTTGTCTGTCCTAGAAACAAATAATGTTCAAGCTAGCTGCACATTCAAACCGCCTTCTCTCTGATGCGCTGCAGACCAACTAAAACGAAGCCAAATGGAAGGGGTTTATCTGAATCCAGACCAGCTTGATTTAGCTGTTGTAGCCGCATTAATTTCAAGATAAAATCTTCTAGCTCACATTTCACCGCATTCATGCTGCGGACGCCCTAAAAAATGAAACTTTCTGCTCGGTTGAAGGAGGGGTGTTTTACCCAATCAAGCCGAACACTCAAACACATCGAAATCTCGCTTATCATTGCCTTCCAATATACTTCGCGTTCGAGGTTGAACGGTTTTGATGGAATTTCCTCTTTCGCACCAAACCAGAACCCTGCACAGTGCCGACGACAGCGAGCTCACGTCTTGTTCATCTTGTCGGAAATAATGGCTCTTCTAGGTGCCATGGTCATCCTTCCGTTCGTCCTGCTACTCGTCCTTGGAGCGGCAGCATTTTCGAGTGGAGCTGCCAATCATCGCCGTCCGGTTCGTTCGCCGCCGACGACGACTACGACCTGCCGATACGGCGACGCCCGGGACCACTACTTTCAACAACCCTTCCCGTACGGTTCCAATCCGGAAGTAGACGCCTACGACCTGGTCGACGATGATTCGCCCTTTCCTGCGGACAAATGTCGTCGTGAGTATAATATGTTCTGTTCAAAAACCATCATCAATCTGTCACTCCGTCTGTTACACCCTCCACAGTGGCCAAGGAGATGGAGAAAGAGATCCAATATTTGCGCAGGCTGATGGACAAGTGCGAGCGATGCGTTTCGTCCGAGGAGGAAATGTCGACTCAACTCCGCGGGCCCAACAGGAAAAGTGTGAATTGCGAGGACGGTGGCTCGTCGTGGTGTCTCAGTGGGTAAGGTTTCTACGACTGTCGCTATTTTTTTTCGATTCGAGATTTTTGTGGAGGGCTGCCAATCGGTGACCCAAATCAATCGTAACACGTGCAGCTGGTAAGGAAAAAGGTTTCTCGAATCAATACCTTACTTCGAAAAGGTGGGATGGGTGCGTAAAAGTGTGCTGAAATGTTGAGTGGTTTCGAGGAATTTCCCGAGGACGACTATATTTTTCGCATGAAACCTTGTCTGATTTGTTTGTACCTTGAAAGACAGAAAGGTGATTGGTAATTAATCTCTTCAAAATTGTATAACCATTTATCATTGATAGATGGCGATGTGCAAGGATTTAAGAACACGATTGGCGGAAACCTTTTGCTAGGAGCTTAATTCAGTTGCACTTCAAACTTCGTACAAAGTAGATCTCCAGATATGGGCTCGATAAAGTACGAAATCGTAAAAAAAATTGTGTAACAAAGGCTTCCTTGAAGGTTGATACGTTGTAGATAGATCAATTCAAAATAGTGGATCTTAGAATTTCGTAACAATTCATCATTTTACCATGCTTCTGTGTTATTTTCTCTTCAGATGTCACTGCTGTTCTTGATGGTGACATCTATCGGAAATTACGCTTACACTTAGTTCCGTTAATTGTTAACAGAGGGCAGTATGGTCAAAACATGTTTGATACCTCTAAAGACTGTACTCGAAAAAAATGCAACAGACAAAAATGATCACCAAAAATTCATTTTAAGTCGGATATTTTTCAAACTCTCAGAGAATAAATAAACACACATTCACCCCTATTCTGTATTTCGTTTCGAACGAAATTCTCATACAAAAATATATATTTTTTGTATGAGAATTTCGTTCGAAACGAAATACAGAATAGGGGTGATTAGCTATGTTTTGGCAAACTTGGTTTATTCAACCTGGCTAAATGCCCGCACCTTGAACTTAACGCTACTCACCCATCAAATCCTGTGCAACACTTGCGCCATCTTTCTTACACACTTTCATCCACTCTTTCGTCAAAGCCTTGCCGTTTTTGAAGACCTTCCCTGTTTTCCGGAGCTTGCCCTTTATAATCGCCCTGAATTTTTCTATTGGGCGAAGTTCTGGCGAGTTTGGCGGATTTGCCTCCTTCGGCACAAAAACAACATCGTTGGCTTCGTACCACTCCATCACTGGTTTCGCGTAATGGCACGATGCCAGATCCGGCCAAAACAAAGTGTCACATTCTTGGGACCGGAGGAAGGACAGCAGGCGCTTCTGGAGGCATTCTTCTTTATATATTTGTCCGTTGACGGTGCCGGTCATTATGTACGGCTTGCTTAATTTGCCGCACCCATAGATCACCTGCCACACTTCGTACTTCTTGGCAAATTTTTCGACCTTCTTCTTCCGGAACTTCTCCGGAAAATTTAGGAGGTACTTGTCGACGAAAAACTCCAGGCCGGGGATCTGCTTGGCGTATGTTATAATGTACGTTTCGTCGTCCATGACGATGCATTTCGGCTGCACCAATCACTCGCGGTACAGCTTCCTGACGCGGGATTTGGTCACCGTATTCTGTTTATCGGTTCGGTTAGGCGCCTGACATGAAGTCCGGCCCGCTTCATTGTCTACTGGACGTTCCAGACGGAAGAATTGACCTTCTTGGTCACGTCCCGAATCAAAATGTTCGGATTGCGCTTGAAGTAATCCCTCACCTTCCTTGCGTTCACGGGGTCGGCCGTCTTCGCATTTCTTCCACTGCCAGCTCGCCGCTGGGTCGTCTGGATCTCCTAGAAAGATTTTACCACACGGGACACGGTCGAATTGTTGATTCCAAACTGTTTCGCGATCTACCTGTGGGACTGGCCTGGATTTTCCACGACCGCTCCCATAATTTTTTGTCGAAGCACTTCCGCTTGGAAGCCATCTCGATAACCACTTGACGACAGATTGTGACGAGATTTTGCACATGTAAACATTACACTCTAAACTACTTTTACTCAAAACTTCATAAATTTATACCTATGAAATAAAATGTTATAGGGGAAATGACGGCTTCGGCATGACATACTATTTTCGGCAACCCAAATTGAAACACTATTTTCATTGGACTTTCTTACGAAAACACTTCGCTGAATGCATGCAAACGATTCTTTATGCTTTCAGCTTCAATTTAACTATATTTTTACCACTGAGAAAAAGCAATCTAGCAGGGTTTTCTTGAAATGAAACACACGCACTACAAATTGTAGCTGATTTTGAGTTGCCGATAATAGAACAGCAGATTTACATGCAGTTCAAATGGAACGGTTGCCGAAGAAAAACTGGTTGCCGACAATACTCGCTCTCACTAGAGAAGATTGGAGCTTTGTAAAAGCGTTTCAAAACAGTTTTTGACAATTCTTTCGACTGAAATTGTTAGAGCAGCTGGCAGCAAAAGATTGTAAACAAACCAATACTGCATGTGTGCGTTCCTCAGAGAAAAAGGCTATAGAAAGAAGGTCGCTACTTAGGTTGCCGAGAATACGTAAATTCCCCTACGCAAAAGAAAGTGTTGCATTTTTTTCGAGTAAAATCTTCATAAATGGGTCATTCCGCGCCAAGTGACCAGGAAAAAATACAAAAGTGTTATTTTACCACTTCCTGTTTGGATCAAATATGGAGGAGATGTTGATTTTGGTCTAACTTTTATAGATCCAAATTGTTGTGCCAATCGAAGCACCCCTCGGTCCAGGGAAGCATTTTCTATTTTTCGTGATTTTCAAGAAAGCACTACTTTCTTTTATCAGTTTCTTCGGAACAAATAAAGCTACCATTAAAATTTTAGAGTGTTTTTATGAGAACATTAGATAAGAAATCAAAATATGAATTTATTGTTTGTGTACAGTGTTGCCAAATATTTTATATTTGTGTTTAAAAACTTAAAACGGAACTTCCTTAAAATAAGTATGCAGTTAAGATTCCTATAGTATGGATTCCTTTAGTACTGTTGCCGCTGGATTCGTATAGTACGGTCGATCCGGCATTAACGAATACACGTACCATATGGGATTTGAGCTAATTGGGACCAAACATTGATTGTATGCCAATTTGAAGAGATAACTTCCTGATGTATTTGAAGAAGTTTTTAGGCCACCTTTCAGCATGAGTCAGTTTCCAGTAGGACACATGTCTGGTCCTGTAGAACATCCGTAAAGGTGGTCAATTCATGAAACTGATCTCAGTTTTTTTTTTTAAACAGACATCTAATCAGAATGAATTTGGAGATGTGACCAAAACATTGACGCTGGGACCACGGGATGGTCCACCGATCCGAAACAACCGTAAAAGTGGTCAATTAATGAAACTGATCCTAGAACTCCGTTGTTTTTACGAAACCACTAGACGTATTATCAGAATGAATTCGGAGTTATAATCATAATATGGACTTTGGGAACTACGAGGTGGTTCACTGGAAAATCTGGAACATCCGTAAAAGTGGTCAATTCAGAGTTCCCTAATTTTTTTTTCGAAACCGTTTAAAAACGTCTTATCAGAACTAATTCAGAGTTATAACCGAAATATAAACGCACGGTACAACAAGATGGTACTCCAAACAATCCGTAACATCCGTAAAAGTGGTCATTTCATGAAACTGATCCTAGAGCTCCGTGGTATTTTCGAAACCTCTCGTAGACGGCTTATCAGAATGACTTTGAAGTTGTGATCAGAATATGGATGCTGGGGACCACGTAATGGTTCACCGAAAGATCCGGAGCATCCGTAAAAGTCAAGGTCACTCCGCACACCAATTCTGGGTCATATTTTTTGTCAGTGTGCCGCAGATGTGCCGGTCATACCCATCCCGGCAATCCGTTATTTGACACCTTGAATGTTTTGGTTTTAAGTCGCAAGGATAAATCGGATTGAGGAGGACGCGGGAAGTGGCGGGTGTGCAAAATGTTGGTGTTTTGTGTTCATAGGCTAATAAAAGTACAGTGTTTTATAATGCCCTCAAAGGAAGACCAGAAACCTAGCCTTTGGTGATGATGAATATGACTTCTATAGTTTGTTTTGTGTGAGTTGCAGCATTATTTGAATTAAGTGTTTCTAATGGGGTCTGGTTAACTGCTTCTTTCTCTTGAGTCCACTGTAGAACCTACATGTCGTATTTAGATCTATAAGTGAACCGAGAAGTGAACTGCTGGTCTAAGTTCCTCTGGTTTATTTAATTAGAGGATGTTCCTGAATAGTCAAACAGCACGTAATGTTGTGAACAACTCTATTGACAGTTATCCTGCAGTGGTCCCATTTTATTTACAACAATCCAATGCCCACGAGATTGTGCCAAAGGTGTGCCGATGGATGTGCCCAAGCTGTGCTGAATCTAATTTCGGCACAATGTGCTGAGTGACTTACACATTGGAAAAAGCAATAAATTCATGAAACCGTCGTTTTTTTTTTCGAAAACGCTCATAGACGTCTTAACAGAATGAATTCGGAGTAGTGACCGGAATATGGACTCTAAGGACTACGGCATGATTCACTGGACGATCCGGAACATCCGTAAAAGTGGTCAATTCATGAAACTGATCCTAGAAATCCACGATTTTCCCAAACCCTCCCGTAGAAGTCTTTTTAGAATGAATTCGGAGTTGTGGCCAGAATATGGATGCTGGAGACCACGGTATAGTACACTGAAAAATCCGGAACATCCGTTAAAGTGGCCAATTAATGAAACTGGTCCTAGAGCTTCGCGATTTTCTCGAAACCATTCATAGACGTCTTAAAATAATGAATTCGTATTTGTGGCCGGATTATGGACTCTGGGGACTACTACTGGATGGTCCATAGGAAGATTCGAAACATCCGTAAAAGTGGTCATTTCATGGAACTGATCCTATAATTTCGCGGTTTTTTAGAAACCACTCATAGCCGTCTTATCAGAATGAATTAGGAGTGGTGACCATAAAATGGACGCTGGGGATCACAGGATAGTTCATTAACACTCCGAATACGGCGGACAAAAAACTTTACGCCGACT